GAAGAAGACTTTTTTTTTTTGCCTTTGAATAACTTATCCTTAAAAATGCTATCTCTAGACGCATGGCCCATACACACTTCAGAGTGATGTGAGAATGGGAGGAGTGAACTCTAATAATAGCAGCTCTGGACAGCTAACATTAGAGCAATAGAAAACTATAACAAAAATAGTTTTCTTGTGAGAAACTCCATAAATTAACAGGAAGAAACTTCTGTTTCTCTATAAAGACTGGTGAAAATACTAGCAAGAATTGAGACTGTTTTAACCATCAGAGTTCCAGAGTTTTTGTCTCTGTTGTCATGTGAACAGGGGAATAGTGGGTAGATAGGGGATGGAAAGGTTTTTCTGGAAGTTTATTCTGGTGTTCTTATTATTGTGGTTTGTCAATAAACTTTCTTTTTTTTTCCCTTTTAAGTTGTATGCCTGTTTTGCTCTTATTCTGATCCATATCTCACAGCAAGAAGTAAGTAATTTTCTTAGTTAGTGGTTTAAAACCACGACACCACCATCCAAATATGTGCATAACACATCTGTTAGGAAGCATCCAGTATCTGAAAGCTACAGAAAAGACATGCACATCCAGAATGCATGTCAGCATGTATGTGGATGTAGACATACATATGCACACCTGCACATGAATGCACTAATCCTTGCATTTTCATAAGCTGATGAACATAGTCCATATAAAAAGCCTTTACATTCTGTGCCCTTGGTATTTCCAGAGCATTTTCGCCTCATGACACCTACTTGCTACACTACTAAATGGTGGAGCACAGTATTTGGCCAGTAGGATTAGGGTCAACTCCACCAATTTTAATCAAGTTTACTGATTCAGCTTTTCAAATAAAAGTTCTGGGAAAACGAAGTCATTTGTCACTAGCAGGGCTCGTATTTCATAATTACATAATTACAGTATTACATAATTACAATATGAGCTGCAAATAAGCTTCACAAGGGCAATGGTATCACAGAAACTTTGTAGTAGTTCTAGAAAGCAGCTTTGTTTCAGAAAAAAGTCAGAAACTATTTCACAAATTTATTTTATTGCCAAAAATCTATTTCAAAATGTGTTAACCATTTGCCTTTGCTCTTTACCATGAATTACTGTCTGTCTTTGGTTAAGAACAAAGTGATTGGAGCCAAATGAATAAGGCAAAAATTTAATATTTTATATAGTTTAATAAAAAAAGTGTATTAAAAATTAATAAAATTGAAGGAAAATTGAAGGAAAAAACTCAAAAAACAACATTTGAAGGGCTAACAGAGTGGACAGCAAATGTCCTGTAAGCAACGCCAGCAGGCAGGAAATAACACAGATTAAACTCAAAGCAGCCATTCGTGTCTTCAGTCTCTCCAAGAATGCAAGTATAAATCCAGCTGGCACCCCAGGTAGCTTCTCCAGCCACATCTGCCTGACGCATTTGGCTGTGTCTGATACTTCGTTTTTTTTTATTTTCTTAAGGAATGGTCTAACTGCTAGGAAAAGTGTAATTCATTTATTTCAGAATTTCACAGAACAGATAATTCACCACGTGGCAGCTTCTCTCCTCATCAGGTTTTTCCTACTGTTGCAATGCTGAGCAGGAAGAACTGAACAGCTATGACTGCCATGCTTCACATTATTTAGCAAGGTATGGCTGTATTTCCATCACATGCTTGTGGTTTTCCTTTTTCAGAAAGATGCCCAGTCATGAGCTTGAAGAAATGCTAACTTCTTGCCGTTGCACCTGGAAAGCCCTGAACCAAAGACAGCAATATATCAGCAAACAAATAGATATTCAGCCTGATTATATAAAGCACCACCTGGATAGCATCGTGCTACTCCAAAATGTTTTTACAAGATTCATTTTACACCAAAAATTATCTGGCCAGATCTCAACCTTCATTTAATTCTGTTGAATTTTGGCTTAAAATCAGGAAGAATTTGGATAACAGGCTAGGAAAGGATCATAGTCTCAAAATGTGAATCAAAAGTTTCAAAAGCCCCTAAGCTGGAAGTGAAGTTTTGTTACAAGCTGTCTTTCTTTGTAACAACAGGAAAACATGGCATTTTTGTTATATGGTTTTTAGCTCGTAAGAGTACAAACTATTTTTCTACTTGAAGTAAATGTCTTTTGTACATCTGCATGTATATGATGCAGTCATCCTGGAAAACTGTATATAAATTTCCAGTTCAGATTTGAGTTAGAAGTGTTATGTGAAACCTCAAAACGACAATACTCTATTGCACAAAAAAAAAAAAAAGAAAAAGGAAAAGAAAAGAAAAAAAAAGAACATTAGAAATAAAAAAGTGCATTATTCAATCTATTTCTTTATGCCTGCACAGCATCAAGCAAACAACTAGCTCTCAATAAAGCATAAGAAATAACAAATAAGCACAAGAGAGTACAGTTGAAATAATCCCAAAGAATTAAGGCCAAGTAATTACAGCTTCTTAGACATGTTGACTATAAAGAAGTGTTTTCCTTGAGGGAACTTGAGGTTAACCATATGGCATACTGACCTAATCTTCAAAGGTACAAGAATGGGAGGCTTTAGATGAAGCATGGCATTGCTATCTAATTCTGTGACACAGAAGAACAATTTGTGTAGCTCTGTAGATAATTTGGTAGTCTTTATTAATAAAGTAGTTGTGTAAGTTAATACTATGGCCAACATTCCAGCATAATGTTTTAGGATATAAAGAGAGGAGTGATAGAGCCAGGAAATCAAGTTGCCTGTGTGGAACAGTGATTCACTGCAGAATGAATCACTTGTGTCTAGAGGCAGAACTGGTCCTATTTGTGTTTTGCATTGTGTCAATATTTCCATGGCAAATCATTGTTTTCAGGGCTCCTGTCCATGGAAAATGGATTTTTAATTAAAACTGGTACACAAAACATCAGGCCAACAGTACCAATGTTAATTACTGGAAGTGTTTCCTCATACAAAAGCCATTTGGATCATTTGTATATATATTTTCCAGGACAAAATTGATTTTGAAATGAATATTTGAATCATATTTATATTTTGTGAACTTGAGAGGAAAAGATCTGTGAATTTTACTATCTCTCACTTTTTTAGCTTTTATATTATTATTCACTCTTTCCACTATCTATTCTTCAAATCCTTACTACTTTGTACACACAAGAATTTTTGTTTCAGGATTTGTTTAGTTACAGGTGTAAACCCAGTTGATCTCTGAAAGCCTGATTCTATAGTCGAACAATAAGAGACTTTTAACTCCCAGTGTGTTCCTTGTAATAAGATTACAATTATGGTTTATTTTCTAAATATTTCATTAGATATTTCATTTCAACAGGTAAAACGAACCTTTGGGCTATAAATATAAATATTTTTAGTATGAAATTATAAAATGTTTTAATCAAAACTTCATGATCAGAGAAAATCTTTCCAAGTGATGACAGTACATGAATAACTCTAGATTTCTCAAGTGGCATTGGTTTCTGTCTGGCTTTTGACAGGGATATTTAAAACTTTAGGTGTGACAAATTGACCTCTTCAGCAAAATTATAGAAATGGAGGTGGAGATTTTTTTTTTGTCCAGTTCAGGAGATGGATAAACTGGACACTTCTATGTAAGCCTGTTATCTGTGTATTAAACATCAGTAATATATCTGTATAATTTGAAGATTTCCCACCATGAAAATGATTCATTTTTCTTAATTAGTTTTCTCCAGATTTCAGTGTTTTGGGCTTTATATGCATGTATTTGACTACAGACACCTACCTGAAATAAGTAAGGTGTCCTGACAAAGTCTGGTGAAGAGGGAGGAATTTAATAAGTGGTCACAATGAGTAATAGTAATATGGTATCATTACACATTCTGTGAAGCCTGAACATATGAAATGTTCTGGTCTAACTCAGCATGAGGTGATTTGGTTTTCTTTGGCACAATGCAAACCAGCTAGGTCAAGTTTAAAGGTTTTTGCTAAGAAGACCTTTTACCTCTGAAGATATTATGGAGTTTAGACACTTCTTTCTTTCTCAGATGTAAGGAATTTTCTTTTAATTCATAATTATATTTATTGTTTATCTAAATAAAATTAACACCTCACAATTATGACAATGTCCAATGAAATTAATAACAGCGCTCAAATTATCATTAAAGAATGTTTTGGATAGCAAACATAAACTCTAACAAGTATTCAATAAAATCTCAAACCAGAAACATAATGCTGTTTATTAAATACTTAGCACACAAAATGATAATGGTGGTGATGATTATCATGATTATTTAATACCTTCGACATTTCTTCCACTGAGGTCCATACTACAACACTCAGTGTCATAATATTAAGAGCTTTAAGGTCCCCCCATCCACTCCTTCTTTTTAAGTTTTGTTAAATTTAATGGCCAACTCAGAAGTCACTGTGATGACTTGACCTTTGACACTACCTGTTACCCATGTAGTAATTGTCTGTCACTTGTCTTATCAGAGATTTTTCTTTTGCAGAGATGTAGATAATACCATGGATGTGAAGTCCAGCTTTTCTGTTTAATTGGGTAAAGAGATTCTAATTTGAAGGTGCAGATTTTTCCAAACTTTCTTTTCCTATTTTGAATTCTTGTATATAATGTCAAGAGAAAAAATATTTATTACTACCACAAGGTATTCAGGTGTAAAATTGAGAAAGAAGATGAAGAGTTCCTTCCTTCTTTACTTTTTTTCCTGCATAAAGTAAACATGGCGAATGTCTCCTGCCACTTTTTATTTTTATGGAGGAAATCTTGTTTTCCTGGCTTTTTGTTTTTCCTTTCCCTATTCTGGCCTAAATTTAAAAGTATGCATACAGATTTTAACCTGAAAGTACTCAGGGAAGAAGATGGAAGAAGTCATCACTCTTCCACTTCTTGGAGTGGAAAGTTGCTGACAGCGGTGCACCACCCTACACAAAATAGGAGTAAGAAATAAATATAATAATTTAATTATAATAATAGGGAATAAAGATTATAACATTGTTTTCTTCCTCATATGAATCAGAAGAGCAATTCCTTGTGTGGGTGATTTGTACTTAATTTCATTACATTTCTATTTTGCCCTTGCAGCCCAGCAGTCCAGAGCTATGTATATGTTATAGTTCTCCTGACTCCAAGCAAGAAAGAGGTGGTTGAGATAAAGGGGAACAGTTAAATGTCTTGGGTTTCCTGTGGTATACCCAAATACTCACTGTGAAGACTATAAGAAAATATTTCATACCTCCTATTGTCTTTACTTTTCCAGAAGTGCAACATTTTCTCTGAAGTGTCAGTGGATTCATTATCTCTGGCATGGATTATATGAATGCATCTGCAGGGAGAGGTTGTTCTGCAAGACTTTAGCAAAAATCTCATAAGAGGACACTCACTGGGAGCTCCCTCCAACACTTAATTGTCTCATTCGATTATTTCAGTCTTGAAGCTGCCTAATGGAACTTCAGCTAATGCCTACAGAGAATTTAGCAATAATACTTTACCCACTGCACTCTGTGGCAAGGCAGGACTGCATGAGCTGTCAGTACACTTGTTATGTAGTAGGATTTCTTTGGAGTAACTATTTATTTTGGAAGCTTACTGCCATTAATAGAAACACCCTCAAAGGTATGTGTGTTTCTTGCCATCCATAGGTGCTGGATTCAGAAATTTGTTTGGCGCTTGCATGTGTCAAAATCAGAAGGGTTTTATACTGTATTCATGAGGACATGACTTCTTTTAAGTGAAGATTACAAAGCTATTACAGATGTCAAAGGACAGCAGCTTGTCTGCTCAGCTGCAAAACAGGTATTCAATAGCAACAGTCCCTGTGATGTGGCTTACTGTGCATAAAAGGAAACAGGCGAAAGACAATTCGTAATCAGCTTAACATGCTCTCGAATCAGATGAGATATATGTAAGACCAAATACCTTCTGCTTGTATGCTGCAAGGAGGGGGTCTGTCATATAAATGTGCACCTATTTAAGGATTTATTAATATCTCCACCCTTAGAGATATCTAAAGCCTGTCTGGACACAGCCTTGAAAAATTTGTTCCAGCTACCTGTGTTTTGAGCAGGGGTGTTGGACTAGTTGATCTTCACATGCCCCTTCCAGCCTCAACCACTCTGTGATCCTCCACAATAACATCTATATGATAATGTGCAAAGCCCAGTTAATTATGTCACTTTGAGCTCAGTGCAGCCCAGTTAAGTTGGGTGCCTTTCCTTCCTCAGCCATATTGCAACTGCTAATTAATCTCATTTAGGATGCTTTCAAGGGTAAGCAAATCAAAACTGGTTCAACTCCATCTTTTATCCACTTTTTATAGTTCTGAGTTGAGAAGAAAGCAAATTAGAAATTGCTTTTCTCCCAAAGAAGTTCAAATGCTTTATTTTTTTTTTCTTTTTACCATTTTTGTGTAATTTATTTCCTGTCAGTAGAATGATAATGTCATTATTTATAATTCGAATAGCTTCTCTATATTGCCATGCTTCTACATACAGAGCTCAGTAGCAGAATTAGATGATTTGTTTTCCATAGTAAGAAATACTTGCCCTTTAGCCACTTGTCAGTCTAGAAATAGGAGATGAAAAACGATAACTCTTTTTAATACTTGAAGAGTCAGTATTAAAATCTCAACACAAAAAGCTCCCGAGACATGACATTTTACAGCTGTGTTTTCTCTGGGTGAAAAACATCGTGGATATAATTCTGGATTTTTAATAATTATCTCACTTTGAGCTCAGTGCAGCCTGTTTCACAGTAATTAAAGTACTGGGGA